CAGGTTGGTACACAGCTGACAGCCCTATTTGACAACTGTTAGAATTCATATTATGGCAAGAACCAATCAGCTAAGTAAAGAGAAACGACAGTCCATGTAGTGTGTGTACTTACAAATGAGAACAAACAAACAAACGAGGGTTAATGATAAACTACAGACAGCTCACTAGTTAACAATAATAATCAGCTTTATGTCAAATTGTATCCAAAAACACTAACAATATGGTCCTAAATGATTTGTTTACGGTAGCTGTTACTCGTTGATATGAACCTCCTCGACCACACGGGGGCGTCGTTGCCCCCCCCCTCCTCCCTCTGAAGCGTCGAAGAAGAGCACTTCCGTTTTCCTCTCGGCTCCCGCCCCGCTCCGCCATCATGAAGTCCTGAACAAAAACGGACGAGAGTCGAGCAAAATGGGGATAACACGAACTGGAGATGAAATCCGCCGACAGCGCTAACGCAATGACAGCACAGAGTGGAGCACGGAGCGGACCCGTGGAAATTAATGAAGCAGTGTCCCATTGAAAGCGTCCCGGGCAGCTCCTGGCGTTACGTTATTTAGTGAGCGGAGTGGCTAACAGCTGCTAGCCCCTCTGGTTTTCTCTGAAGAGCTCTGCTGCCTCGTTGAAGCAGGCAGGCAGGCGTCAGTCAGGCTAGCTGTCACTTGAATCGACTGCCACTTTACTCATGTCAACTCCTGCAGACGTGCTAGCTGTCCAATTGACCGCCGGGAGCATCGGGATGGAGAGGGGTTTGAGTCACAGCGTCGACAGACACAATGTGGTTTGTTCGTGTTGAATAGACACCAGTGCCGAGGAAAGGGGAGTGAGACCAATATTTTCCAGCCAGGCCAGTTAGCTAGCTCCAGAGCTAGCTACAGTGGATCCCAAAAGCCACGGTAAGACGTGTTATAAATCATTCAACATGCCGGAGCCGACGAATGCGCCTCTGTCCCTTGTGTTTGCAAGGGAAAAGAGCAGCTGGCTCTCATTGACTGTCTCATTTTAGGCTCCTGCACACGTTGACATTGACATGCAGGCTTGTTGTTGGCCTGCAGCCTTGAACACCACAGCCAGTGTGAGTTGTTGTCGTCCACTGTTGAGTATGTGTCGTGCATTTTCTTTGGTGTGCAAGAGCAAACGTAGCCTAATTGACCAGCCAAGTGCAAAAAAAATAAAAGCCATCTAGCTTGCTCAGCTGAGATGCACACTGTACATGATACTGACGGCAACCCATCCAGATCATTACTCCTCGGTCTCACCACGCCAAGGACAGGATGCATTTTGTTTTATAAAATATGCCCAGGGTGCTCCATGGTTGTCAAGTTGCATATATTGTATCATAATTGTAATCATTTGTTGCCTCTTGGCTGCAATGAGTATGATATGGATGGGTCTTTAAAAATATAGAGACTGATAGTCTTTATTTAGGCTTTGGTTGTGAGATTGAAAGAACTTCTTATTTTCAAAGGGAACTGTCTGCTTCCTCTTTGACAGTAGCAAAATGGCCACGAAAGAAATGTTCCATCTGATGCACGGTCCTTTTTTTAAAATACAGTTTTGAAATACCGACATGAAGGCCCAGTTGCTACGTTTCTGACCACAATATGAAGCATGTGTTGCATTTCCACAATAACCCTTTGACAGAATCCAAATATCCCATGATGTACCCCGTGCCAGGCTGTTATCTGGACAGATACACAAATGAGCAGTTGCTGTCTCCACTACAGCTACATTTACTAAGGATTCACACTATGAACAATCTAAATGTATAGATATGAAATAGTTTTGATATGTTTCATTCATTTTAAAATGGGAGACTCTGGTAGACAAGAATCACAAACAATCTGACTTCATGACACAAACGCTGAGTGGCCGTGCTGTCCAAAATAATGTGAAGTTGTGTTTAGAGAGGTTGTGACAAAGAGCAACATAGTGTGTTTTGATGTGGGCCACAAAATAAAATCTCATGATATGATATTTTCTGATATTTTCTTACACCCCTAGTGATTAATTATTATTTCTAATGCAAAATAAATGAAAACAATCAAACAAGCTAATTTGAATTGATGGGAGATATAGAAGCATTTCAGACACCACATGTGGTAAATATCTATTATCTCAGGGTATCACATCGCCGATCAATCAGTGATCAGTTTTGTCCTTTGATATCCTAATCTAAATTTCCAGTAGGCACATACAGGATGTTTTATCCGACTGTAAACGCCACTCCCTTTGGCTGTATTTCCATAATTGGCCCAGAAACCTCTGATGACCTTTTCAGAGACAAATCAAACTATGGTGGTTACTGGGGTTGCAGCAGTATATCGATACCAGGGTATACTTTGGTATTAAAATAGACTATCACACCGTTTACTTTTATCTTGTGAAATTTGGCCTGCTGCATTTTAGGGAAGTGTCTCTGTACTAGAGCTAGACCAACGCATTGCCCAGGCTAATGTTGTGAAACGTCCCTCTCAGTATGTATGTTTACCATCTAGTTTACCTTCTTATTTAGCCTGCTGTTATTGTGCTCTGTTCACCGGTTTTACACACTTGCATGCCGTTGAGAGTGCGGAAGGGGGATGGTCCAAAAGGATTGTTTTGTTGAGCATACAATGAAAATATGCAGCGTTTTGTGTGGATTTCTGAATCTTAGTTTAACATAAGTGAGGAAGATAAAAGAAACCATTAAACAAAGAATTGCTGGAGGAAAGAAACTGCTCCACAATCTGCGATTTTAAGAGAGGTATTTCCTCTTCTCTAATTAAGGAAAATTGACCATTATGGCGGATGTGAAAACCAGGTATTCATTTCTTCCACATACCAGTTGGATGATCTACAGAAGCTAAAAGCTGCATGTACTTTATCTATAATCACCCAAGAATTCATCTTGCCAGACGTGTTATGTCCAAACACAGTGGTATTGGACCAATCGGCATCCTTTGAGGAACTGCAGGCAGCTACAGCATGAGCTATGTGTGTGGTTTGGCGCTAGGTGTGTGACAACGTGTGGGAGAAGTGACTGTTTGCTCAGAGGTTAGCGTCGCTGCTGCTAGCATCAGTTATATCAGATATTTTTGGTGACGTTATACGGTGTGTTGATCTGATTGGTTGATGTTCACTGGTGATACATGCTGATTGAGAGGTGATTCATCCAATCACCGGATTTTGTGACAGCTCCTGCCCTTCCAAACAGTTTCTAATGCTGTCTTCCCAGATGGTTCTGTGTAGCAAACCACCTGGCTCAGTCTGGTCAAATGATAGGAATTGCCTATTTTTGAATATAGCAATGTTAATGAATGAAAAATACAGCTATGTTAAGTTTTGCCAATATTGTTCAGCCATATATTTCTGTTGGAGAGACAGATGGATGATGGACGGATGAATGGGTGGGTGGATGAATGGTCATTTGAAGCTGATGGGCACTTTGATATTTTCCATCCATGTGAGGCAACACAGATTATCTTTTTGTAGTCTTAAGACAGTTTAGATGCAGTTGTAGTACAAGATCCCTTTTTTTACACAAAAGTAAAAGTGAGTCGACCCTGTGGAGTGGGAAAACAACTGCAGACTAGCATGTTCTTTGACGCGATCAGCGAAACTGGCAGCCCTTTTTACAGAGTAATTCAGTGATATAGTTATATATAAGTAATATAAAAGTAAGGTTAGAAAAGTTCTTGTTATAATTATTTGAGAGACACTGGGAGTTAGCACAAATGTCCCGCAGCAGCAACTAAAAAAATGATCAAGATCAATTTTCTTTTAAAACAGATCTTGAGAGAAAAACACATGCTCAATACGTAAACATAAACATAGATGCAATTAATAATAGTGTCAGAGTTTGTGTCCATCCCATGGCGGCTCATTCCAACGCGTCCAACACCGATGGCGGTAATCCCTCCAAGTAACAGACGCTCACCCAGTGTGTCTCTTGCACGCTCCCCAGGCGCTGGCCATGCCGTCGAGTGTGCGGGCCGGGAGCCTGAAGGACCCGGAGGTGGCTGAGCTGTTCTTCAGGGAGGATCCTGAGAAGCTCTTCACAGACCTGAGGGAGATCGGCCATGGGAGCTTCGGAGCGGTCTACTTCGTAAGTAACCTTCCTCTGTGTTTGGGTCTCTAAAGAGATGTTCGTATTGGTGACACAGTGGATGGAAAAAAATGGTTTTTTTAGTCGCATACGCTCACACACTCTACGGTCAAGCTTCTGAACATGGTCTGCTGTACTGTTGGGTCTTTTTCACTTGTCATTTAGAAATGCAGCTATTTTGTAGTAATGATTTCTGTTCATATCGTGCACTCCTCGAGGGGTATGGAGCTAGCGAACGAGGTGTTTAGATTATTAATACAAGTTGAAGTTAAAATGAAAATTATTGTATTATTAAATGTGTTGATTTGCTTGCTTTTCGTCTGTTAGTCAGACAAAGGCGATTTTAAGATATCACCTTGGGCTTTGCTAGCTTGAGAAGTTTATTATTGACATGAGACAAAAAATTCATTTTAGTTTAATCAACAGTTATAACAGCTCAAACTCTGTGATAGTACAACCCAAAAACTGCTCCTCTGAGCTTTAAACACAACAGCCCATCACTGAGGTGTAGTGATTGGTGAACCTAGCCTGGGCAAAGTGATTAATGGTATGAAAAGGTAATCACAACAAAAAAGAGTAGCTGTCAGACAGTGGTAAGAGTAATGTTGTGGGTCAGAGATGGTCTCCGTTAGGCAGGAGTGAAGGTAGTGATGATGATGATGATGATGACTGTGAGGAAGCTGAAGATGAGAGATGGCAGGAGAGAAGAAAAAGGTAAAAGCATGGTACGAGTCAAGGACAAAGGACAACTCGCTTGTGGTGGATGAAAAGGCCTGTTTAATGAAGGGTGAAAAGGAGCTAGTCATGGATGAAGTGATCGACGGAAGAGGGCAGAAGAGAAGAGGAGAGGCTCAGCAGAAATCCTTGTTTTATGTAATAGTGATTTCTTTGTTGGGTCTGATGTAAAAACAGCGGATTAATTAATTAGCTTTCACTAAAATCAACTGGTTATAATAAGATTCTTCTCTCATATATCTGATAAAAGAAGACTAAAAGTAATTTATCATCTGTTCTCCCTCACCTTTCCACATTAGGCCCATGACATCCGCACCAATGAGGTGGTGGCCATCAAGAAGATGTCCTATAGTGGCAAACAGTCCAATGAGGTAGGACCTGGCAACCCTCTGATCCTTCATGTATTTTGATGTACGATCATTCGAGATGATTGATCCGTGTCATCAATGATTGTGGCTCTGCATGTGTTTCAGAAATGGCAGGATATCGTCAAGGAGGTGAAGTTCCTCCAGAAGCTGCGCCACCCCAACACTGTTGAGTACCGTGGCTGCTACCTGAGAGAGCACACAGCATGGGTGAGTGTGCTCGTGTGCATAATGCGATTTTTGATTGATCACGTAATACACACCTACGGCACTTTTGTACAGTGTCTTCATCATTTTTATGAAATGCATTATTTTGTTTGTGCTTCTCAGTATGTTATTGTTGTTACTTTAGTCCCCGGTGGCACACTAAACAAAGATGAAAAGCACGCAGAAACCACAACATAGTCATCATATTGTTCTTTATATTTATTGTTGACTGTGATGTTTGAGTTGGATGTAATGAACGAAACAAAAGAAGACTGAAAAACCCTGTCTCCACAGTAAACGATCTACTGAGTGTTTGATGGTTATTTATTTTTGCTTTACAACACTACCGCCATGAAACCATTATCAAATCAAGTTTTATTTCTCTCTTTTCATACTCGCTCTTTTTCCATTACCTTTCTCTCATTCTCTCCCTCTCTCCCTCTCACAACCATACCCAACTCACTACTTAACATTATTTTCTTGTTCCTCCTGTTGTTGTCTGTCTGTCTGTGTCGGGAAGTCAACAACAAGGCCTAACTTTGTTTTTAATGATAATAAAAATAAAATAGAAATGTCGACCCCTCATTCTAATATCAATACTAGTGGCACCCACCCACTTCCTGATTTTGTGATTGCAACTGCTGTGTTGTGTAGGTGTGTTTTTTTTTTTAATGCATACAGTACTGTATTATTACTGTACAGATAATACTAATGTGAAGTTTACCTAGTCACGTTAATCAGCTTCTGCTATGTGGAGGAGTTGGCTTCAGACCTCCGTTTTGAGGTGGAGGTGGACATGAAAACGCTTTTCTGCACTATACTCTATTTCCATATCTCTCACCCTTTAATAACTGTACTGAAACTCTCAGGGAAAACTGCCTCCGGTCCAAAAAACCCTTTCCATTCGGGTCAAGTGTGGAAAAAGTCCTTAACATCAAGTGTGCTCTGTGTTAGGCTCCCTAAAATAGCATGCCGTTTAACACTCCCTCTGCCTCTCCTCTAGCTGGTGATGGAGTACTGCTTGGGCTCAGCTTCTGACCTCTTAGAAGGTTAGTCAGAAAGAACAGACGAATGAGTAATTCAGTAATACTAATGAGTTAATTATATATTTCACATTAACAATGCCTGATATATCCCCTAATATCTCTTCTCCCAGTCCACAAGAAACCCCTCCAGGAAGTGGAAATAGCTGCCATAACCCATGGTGCATTGCAGGGATTGGTGTATCTTCACTCTCACAACATGATTCATAGGTAACCCCCATTCTTTTTCTCACTATCTGTATCTATTCTGCTCTCCTCGCCCACACTTCTGACAAGAGACAAAACAAATACAGGGGAGAAAGCACAAACTGTGCTGCCTAAGATAAGCTTATGCAATGGTGTATGTGCTCGCACACTGTGCAGCAACACATTTTAGTGCATCGTGCTGCTCCCCAGCCTCTAACAGTATATTTTTATATACCTCTCTTATTTGTTTTGTCTTCCTCACAATTTTCATGACCAGTCATTTTCTCTTATCTGATCATTTCTCTCTCTCAGGGATGTGAAGGCAGGAAACATCTTGCTAACAGAGCCAGGTCAGGTCAAACTGGGAGACTTTGGCTCTGCCTCCATCGTTGCCCCGGCCAACTCCTTCGTGGGAACACCTTACTGGTAAGGCACCAGACTTTTTTAGTCATAACAGCTGATCATCCCAATCCTTAGATGATGGTTTGAGAACAGTTATGCCTGGTGCATTCAATAGGATCACACCTTGGTTGATATGGAGACAGTCCAGGTTACTGTGGTAACGGCCAGTTTTTTATTACTACAGGTCCCAAAATCTTTAGGGAAGCACACACTTTTTGAGCAGCTATCAGGGTTAGCACTAACCATGATGACAGATACAGTGTGTTTCCTGTGACTGCTTCATGATAAAAGCCATCACATGTTTTGCTTGGTGAATGCTTTAATGTGAAGCAGCAGCATTTTAAAGTTTTCCTTCTTTCTTCTTTGTCATAAACTTTACTTCAGTCACGAACCAAAGAACCACTTTTCTCCTTCAGTTTTTATTTGCGGTATACCAAACTTTAAATAGCGTAGTACTCCGTCTGGCTGGCTGTTATTCATGTATTATCACACTTGTGAAGCGATAAAGTTCCAACAAGGTGTGGTGGCCTAAATGTCACATTCAAATTCATTCAAAACTTGAGCAGTGTTGATCTGCAGTGTAACCAAAGTTTTTCATTGACACTGATGTTTATTCTCATATCATTTTTATATATATATATATGTTCACATGTAGTCGGTTTAGTATTTTACCAGTGTTTACCATTAATTACCTAGACTATTGCAGCCTGCCATAGTTTCATAACAAACCGAAAATATTTTAACACTTTTCTCTAACATTGTGTTGTGCGCCACAAAGCCTCTCTCACTCACCGTACAAATATCCGTCAGCTGTTGGCGATGCATTCGTTACCACGTTGTTTCCGTTATGATGGGCTCCGTCATTAACAACAAGCCGAGCGGGTGAAAAATCACGAACACGGGTTGTGCTTTCTGGGCGACTTCATAAAACTCAACAAGAAAGTCAACAGAGAGAGTGTGTGCACAAGAGAGACACAGACCAGAGTGTGTGTGTGTGTGTGGCCTGTGCAGAAAAGAGTTGGAGAGTTAAGTAGTGAAATAAGTAATATGTATCATATAAGTTATATATAATACATAAGTATTTTTCAACTTTTTCAATAACTTCAACCCTCCCCCTTTCTGGTCGCCATCCCAGCCCCAACCACACTTACCCTCATCCTGTGGGAAACATTGTTTTACTGTCAGTCCACTAACCCTTTCAGCTCTACCTGCATATTTCTCACAAGGGCATCAGATTCCACTATTCATCAGCTACAGGTGACTGTTGTTGTCAGACTAACCCTCATAATGTCTGTTCATGTGCTATAGACATTAGGAAGGAAGGACAGTGTGCCCTGAGGTGGTGTTCTCTGTTGGTCCAGGATCAAAGGGAAAGGGCTGGAAATGGCTGAATTGCTTTGTTGTATCCTCCATGCAGGATGGCCCCTGAGGTGATCCTGGCCATGGACGAGGGTCAGTACGATGGGAAGGTGGATGTGTGGTCACTTGGCATTACCTGCATAGAGCTGGGTAAGAGATGGCTATAAAATGGTCCACAAATGTGTTTTTATGTGTTGACAACACTGTAAGCATCCAACCCTTTTCTTTGCTTTCTCCTCTCGTCTCCTTTTTTTTTTTTTTGTTCTTGCTCTTTATCTGCCACTCTCTGTCTCTGTCACACTATGTCGTGCTTTGTCACTCTCTAGCGGAAAGGAAGCCTCCTCTGTTCAACATGAATGCTATGAGTGCCTTATACCACATCGCCCAGAATGAGAGCCCTGTGTTGCAGTCTAATCACTGGTGAGAGTCTGTCCTAACCATTCTGTGTCCTTTTAGGCAAATAAAACGTTTGTTGCACTATGAGTTTGAGTTATGTTGCTTGAGATTATGTCATTAATGTTGCTTTTTATAAAAGATTTTCTAATTATATTGAGGCTCTTTCAACATAATGTTTTTGATCGAGGATTGGTTGAAAGTAAAAACACAGCTGATAGATGCTAATGAACATTTTGAAACTAAATTAACCTTTATCAGTGACGAAGGTCTGGTCAGAAGCGGCCATTTCCCATTGTTTGTTTAGCGTTTGTGGCTTATCAAGCACCACATGCTTCAACCATGGTTTTATAATGTCGCTGTCTCTATGGTGCATCTTTAACGACATTTGTATCATTTACAGGTCGGATTATTTCCGCAATTTTGTGGACTCCTGTTTGCAGAAGATCGCCCAGGACAGACCTACCTCTGATGTGCTGCTCAAGGTACAAGCCGTTAAAAGAATTGTTTGATGTTGTACATGAAGGCCGGCAGAGGCGGGATTATCTCTTTGTTAGAGATCGTCTTTGTGATCATGCAACAGGAAATCTGAAGCGTAAATAAAGTTAAATTAAGTACTCCCCTTTCGCTTCAGTTTCAACCAGATGCAACCAGCCGTTCTCTGTTTAATAAATACTATAGAAGTTCCTCTTTACATTTGTTGTTACTGTTCAAGTGTGCACTGGCATAACAAGGAGGTCAGCTTGTTGCTGTTGGGGAAACAAATAATGTGCCAAGCACTTGAACTTCAAAGGGAACTATCAAAGGAAATTTGTGTGTGTGTGAGTGTGTGTGAGAATATCGCTGTGATCATCATCAGGAAGTGGGCACAGGAGTTTAGTTTGTGTGCAACTTTGTGGCTATGATGATGGCCAAATGCTTTATTGGAACTCATTTATGCAATATATTCTGATTTGGTCAATTGAATTAGTGTAAAGACACAAACCCATAGTGGCTAGAGTATGTCACAGATTTTGTCATTTAAAATACACACACTCTAACATAATATTGCTGGCTGTTGGCATTTAAAATCTTCTTGAGCTGAGACAAGACTGCACTCACTACCCAGATCAATAAAATAGGTATGTATTTACACAACCACTGAATTCAGTTGGGACATTCACAGGCACCTGGGAATGATGACTTAATGAAAAAGAAGGTTGCAAGGCCGCCTCCTCCTTTCTTCTGTGTTATTAATAGATGTTTTAAACAAATGGTCCTTCACTGTTCTGGATGATGAGCAGAATCCCAGTGTAAAGGAAAATAATCAACATCTTTTATAATAATCGCCCCAAACTAGCAACCCAACTCACATGTAGGTATTACGTGGGTTAATCCTAACATACATGGATCTTTCTGGGTAGCTGTTCACCCTTTGTCCTTCTTCTTAACCTTTCTGTCCACCCAGCACCATTTCCTATGCAGAGAGCGTCCCATGACAGTTGTGATGGACCTGATCGCCCGCACCAAGGATGCTGTCCGTGAGCTGGACAACCTTCAGTACCGGAAGATGAAGAAAATCCTCTTCCACGAGGCACACAACGGTCCCGCACCGGAAGGAGGCGATGAGGAAGAGGTAAGAATAGGATAGAGGAAGAGGAAGAAGCCAACAGAGCTGTAGGGATAAATGAGGTTAAAATGGCAGGGAAGGTAAGGTTAAGACTGAGAGAGATGGAATAAATACTGGCTACTGTTGGCTGTCAGCATTGGGTATCTGCTGAGTCCGATCCAATACTTATACTTATGCTATAGGCTCCTTTATCTGACACACCTTGTAGGGACTACAAAACAGTCAGTCCACTCATTGTTGTACAGTGCTGTAACAGAGTGGAGCTTCCTCCCTCACTAAAGACCAGGCAAGGTGGACAAAACACAGTACAGTAGTAAAAGATCAGCATTTGTTCAGCTTTATGTTAGCCAATACTGATCATTTAAAATATGCCCATATCGGCGCTGATACTAATCCTTCGGATGGGTTCTTCTACTTCAGACATTACAGTGGAGTGCTCTGAATGGTGTGATTTTTGTAAAGTAAAACCGGTTTGCATTTCCTGAGAGTTGTGCATTGTGTTGCCATGTATTGCAGTTAACCACAAGCATGAAACAAAGACACTTAAACCTAGCTGAAAGAAACCTATTTAAAGGACTGTAAAGGGTTTGTTTTTTATTCACATATTACTTGGAAATACCACTCACACTTCATATCTTCAGCTCCTGTTGAAACTCCCAAATCAGTAGGACTTTAGTCAAACAAAATAAAGAAATACTAACTGCCATAAAGATGACCCCTCAAAAAAATAGTTTATTTTTGAAGGGGAAGAAGCATTTATTAGGATCTGCGAGGGAAAACAGCTGTTTTTTTTGCACCCATCCTGCCTTTGTATAGTACTTCTCAATATATATTGTGAACTTAGGACCCCTTCCTCTCCATACAAAGGCCTTTGTTTCCATCGACATTTTAATTCCAGTTAGTTGTACCCCCCATAAGGAAATGAAGGAATTCAGAAAATGTGGGGCTGCACTTTTCTAGAGTGTAGGCCTCTGTGTCACTGTTAGTAGGTTTCATATTTTACTCTGTCTGCTCAGAAAGGTTATCATAGAATAAGCAGTTTATTTGCACTACTACCACTGCTACTATCACCCTATGAAGTAAAGAAACCCCAGTCACCGTCCTAAAAGTGTTGTCTTTCTCCAGAACCCTTTTAACTGTTTTGACTAAACTTCCTCTTTTGTCCTCTCCACCAGGATGTGGAACAGTATATGCTGCGCACCGGCACAGTCAACAGCATGGAGAGCTCTCACTCGCTACCGTCCATGTCAATCAGTGCCAGCTCCCAGAGCAGCTCGGTCAACAGCCTGGCAGACGGCTCTGACGACAGCGGGGAAATGGCCATGATGCAGGAGGGAGAGCACACCGTCACCTCCAACAGCTCTGTCCTGCACAAGCCCCTGGTCAGTGTGAGAATCCTGTCCCTCCCAAACTCCTCTTTGAATATTACATTTGTTTTAAGAGGCATCAAATCAGTCTTACTTAAATACTGGAGTTGGACACACAGGGAAATTTTCAGACCAGCTTCAAACATGCAAACTTGCACCACCTACAGGAACTGGAAGGTAATAGCAGCACCTGTGTAAGCCTGCTGATGCACAGTAGATATGTCAGTGTTGCCACCTACAGAGTAGAAGCAGAAAATGTCCACGCAGCATGGTAATTAGCTCACCAGACCAACTGCCAAAGCTTCAAGTTTTGGTGAACTCGGGTAACGAAGAATAGTCGGTGGAAAACTCCTATCCTTGAACCACCACATTTTTTAAAATAAATACTTTCCCTCTTCTTCATTTTTTCCTCTGCTTGGTCTTCTCTTTGTAGAGCCATGACAACATCTACGATGATCCCTACCAGCCAGAGATTGACTCACAACGAGAAGCTTCATCTGCTGGTGGCGGCGGAGGGGGGGGAGGAGGAGGAGGT